GGAACGGGCCGGGGGTGTCGGGGCCCAGGGCCCCTCTCTCTGTGCGGCCGGGAGGGGCAGGGTCCGGGCCCGGGCTGGGGCCGCCCCGGGCAGACGCGGCGCTTCCCGGAGCCCGCGCGGGCGGCCCGCAGCCGGGCCCTCCCTGGCCCGTGCGGGGATCGCGGCCCTGCTGCGGGTCGCGGCGCTGAGGCCGGGCCGGGCCGGCCGCTCCTCGCCGGGGCAGTGGCCTTGGCTCTTGGCCTTGCGTGTTGCTGCACGCCCGTTCGCCCGCGCTCCAAGGCCCCCAGGGCAGCCTGGCCGCAGGGCCCCACATCCCCGCGCCCTCCGTCCCCGCTGCCGGGGGCTGCCCAGCTGCGGTAGGCTGCGAAATGTGGAGGGTTGTTCCCTCTATGGGCATCTGGCCCGCTCTTCGTACACGGGCGTTGGTTCTGCGGTTGTGCAAGAACTGCCAGACCCGCCAGCTGCTCCAAAAGCAGCAGTTTGAAACACAGACTGTGCACGCGGGCCCCGCACAGCAAGTGGCTGCCCTCCCAAAGAGCCTCCACCGGCGGTGCGGGGCCGGGGCTGCCGGGCTCTTCTCCGGGCCCTACGGCAGATGTTTCCCTCTCCACATTGCAGCTCTGAGCAGCACAGTGGGTTATCTGGACTTGAGTATGGCCAGCGCTCGCAGCAAGCTGGAGAGACACAACTCGTGTCCTTCGCATGCTGCAGCTTGTGGCGCAGAGCGGCTCAGCGGGCTGAGTGCTGCTGCGGGTGGGAGGAGGGCTGCCGCGCTCACCTCTCGTGCCGTGAAAAACTAACTGTTTGGTTTTAAATTTGCAGAGCTTACCTTGAATTTCAAAATGGAGCTTGACATCCAGTGCGAGGAGATGAACCCGGCTCGATGGGCTGAGCTGCTTTCCATCATGAAAACCTGCAAGGCCATCAGGTAGTAACTAGCCATGTATGGGCTCTTCTGGGCACCGCTTCAGTTTTTGTCCTGTGAGAAGAGATATAGGAAAGTTTATTTAAAAAAAAAAATGTTTTTTGATATAGAGATAAGCAGCCATTGGTATGAACTAATGACACTGTTATGGTATGGCCCATCCACTTGCCTAGGTAGAGCCTTCTTCAGTTATTAAATATTTGCTCCCCATTTTAGTACTTCTGTCCTTGTCTGCAGTAAGATCCTCCAGAGAGGGCAGGCATTTCTCCTCACCAAGTTGCACCCTGTGGGCTGCAGGCCAGATGCTGCCAGCTGTTACTTAAAGCGTGTGCACGAGCGCCAGGCACAGCCCAGTTTGGGCAGTCCTGGCTGGGAGCGCACCTGGGACTGGTGCTGGCATTCCGCAGGGCACCTTCCTCTTCCCTCAGGGTCTGTTTATTTCATCTCCTTGGGAGTCGACTCTCCTTCCAATTTGACGTGTTCCCTCTGCCCCCTTGCAATTTAGCAGCATGTAAAAAATCCTGGCTTGCAGAGAGAAGCCCTCTTGCACCGCAGATGTGCTGTGGACTAAACGTCCCGTGAGGTCTGCATGAGTCAGCTGTACGAGACCAAATCACCGATGGGTGTCTCTGGGATTGGGAGACCTGGCCACACAGCTGGTTTATCTAGTCTTTGCGTACAACTCGTCTGACAGCCTCTGAATTGCCCCCTGGGCCTCACACGCTGGATAGGTTGTCACTGTGGAAGTTTAAGTGAAGATGCAGCTTCAGGTTGAAGCCTTGCTTGTTGGAGAAGACCTGAGTCACTTGTCCTCCTCTGCACAGCACGGCAGAGCCTGCAGCTGGTGGGACCAGTTCCCTGCTGCACCAGAGCCCTGCAGAGAGGGCTTTTCTTCTGTCCCCTCATACTAGCAGATGGGGGGGCACTGCCCAAGCAACCCCACATACATTTACAGATATTCCAGGGACAGCCCCCCAGCTCGCTTTAGCTGGAGAGAGCAGAGCAAACGTGGGACTAAGGTGCTCCCTCTGTCCCCTCTTTCAGGCTGGATGACTGCAGCCTCTCCAGCAGCGACTGCAAGGACCTCTCCTCCGTCATCAACGCGAATCCGTCCCTCACAGAGCTGAAGCTGAACAACAACGAGCTGGGCGATGCGGGCATCGAGTACCTGTGCAAAGGCTTGCTGACGCCGAGCTGCAGCTTGGAGAAATTATGGTAAAACTTCACTGATTGTCTTGCTCTAGTGTTCTCCTCTAACGAGCTTTCAGGGTGCTTACCTTGCAGGTAAGGTTGCAAGCCAATCTGTGATGCTGGCAGCAGAGCCCCACCAGGGCGTATCTGCAGTGACGGTGATACGTGGTTCTGCAAGAGTAAAGCAAGTCATTCTTCAAAGAGCTTGTCCTAAGACCCACACTTCTCCAAAGCCCTAAGTAAAACATTCATAACTCGTAGTTCATGAGTTATGAGTTGCATTTCTATAGGAACAGACTTATGTTTGTCTATTTGGGGCTCTGGTAACGTGTCTTAGGGAAAATAAAAGAACAATCAGAACCAAGCCACATTTTTTAGTACCATGTGCAGTGCTTCTCCATAGTGAAGCCCGATAGGCCTAAATGCTTTGTGGCAATAGTATCACTGTTCCTGTGCAATGTCTCTCTGAAGTACACCTGCTTCAAAGATCCCTTTTGCAATACACCCCAAAATCCTACATGATATCCAGGGATTTAAGGCAGTTTGGCCTAGTTTTTTTACTTATAGCTGCTTGGGACCACCTCTCCAGAGGAACAAGGAATTGCAAAGTGCCTTGCTTTCTCTCTGGGATAAGCTTCACACTGATCAAAACACATAATAAAGCAGTTATGTTGCTATTCAATGTAGAGAGGATCATTCTGCCAGACGTGCTGTATGAGCAATTACTTTTGAAGGAATATGGAACTGTTTTTAGTACTACTGGTATAACGTTAGCTTATAAAATATTTGGTGACAACTGTAAAATAAGAGTACTTACCTGGACACACTGCTCCCTAAAAAGTCAAGAACGAGCTACCATTGGTACCACAGTGTCTTTCCAAAGCCAAAGCTCAGCAGGAGCTCCAAGAGAGCCCCTGCAAAATCTGGGAGTGCAGTTCTCTGAGCCTCGTTGCTTCTCTCCTGCAGGCTGCAAAACTGCAACCTGACGAGCGCCAGCTGCGAGACTCTGCGCTCCGTGCTCAGCGCGCAGCCCTCGCTGACGGAGCTGCACGTGGGCGATAACAGACTGGGAACGGACGGCGTTAAGGTGCTGTGCCAAGGGCTCATGAACCCCAGCTGCAAGCTCCGCAAGTTGCAGTAAGTCGCTGGTTGTCTCAAAGCTGGCCTAGAAACTGCTTTTCTTCGGTCATCCGACAGTTTGCACTTGTCTCGACCACAAGGCAAGCAGGAATGTTGCTGCCAGAATAGGATTTCTTCCTCTTGTATCTGAATGTGGGTCATATTCACATTATGGGGTCCAGGGGGGTTGTCCCTGGGGTTTGTTAGGCGGTTTGTAAGAGCTCAGCCTCTATTCCTGTATGCCTTAGCTCACTTGGCAGTCGTGGCTCTTAATCCAAGGTGTCCCTCACTCCAAGGAGAAGTCTGCCTTGTTTTCTTGTATGTTTTCTGCCTTGGCTAACTCACACTTTGCATAAGTAATGGCATGCAAGTAGCAGGATATAGCAGAGACATTTTTTTTTTCCCCTGGATTTCCTTTCCCCTCCTAGGCTGGAATATTGTGAGCTCACAGCCGATATCGTGGAAGATCTCAACGCTGCTCTGCAAACGCAGCCCAGCCTGAAGGAGCTCAGCCTCAGTAACAACACGCTGGGAGACACGGCTGTGAAGCAGCTGTGCCGGGGACTGGTGGAAGCAAGATGCGACTTGGAGCTTCTGCAGTAAGGAAGAGCGGGTCACCCATAACTGCAGCCAACCCTGCTGCTGTTCCTGCCATGCCTAAAATGGGAGGATTTGTTGTTTAAAATTTAGGGTGGCTTTTTGCTGCCTCAGGCTTCTGTAACTATAGAAACTACAAATATATCTGGGGCTTTGAGGTATTCTTAAAAACTTGTTTTAGCATGAGATTTTGAGTTTACTCTTACATCTACTGATACAGTAAGAACTTCAAGTTCCAGATGGTTTGCAGCAAGAAACTACCCCCATACGCCTTTCAGTCTGCATTCGGGGTAGTGAACTGTGTCTGACAGTGCGTGTCTGGCGAAGCAACTCAAACTGTGCTTATTTCTGCAGCCTGGAGAACTGTGGAATAACCAGCGATAGCTGCCGGGATATTAGCGCTGTCCTCAGTAACAAGTCCTCCCTGATAGATCTGTCTGTGGGGGATAACAAGATTGGGGACTCTGGTCTGGCTCTGCTGTGCCAAGGACTGCTGCATCCCAACTGCAAAATCCAGAAGCTATGGTAAGGGAAGGCAGAGTTTAGAGTCTTGATGCTTAAATCCCTCCAAGCTCTCTACCTTATATTGCAGCCCTGTCGCTGCCTGGTAAGCAAGTTTTCAATTACTCCCCCTAGTGAAACTGAGCTATCTCTACCACAAGTTAAGTTATTCCTCGGATCCAAAGCAGAGCACACTGTGCCTTTCCCTGTGAGCAGGCAGGACTGCACTGAAAGCACTTAGACTGAATCCTGGGGAGAGGGGGGGATGGCAGTGCCCTGTATTCTTGTTGAGACGTGCACCAACCAGAGTGGCACATTTCTGCTCTTGCTGTGTTAAAAATGGCAACTCCGGTATGAAGGATGGAAAGAAAGGAGGAAGCCAGGAAAGACTCTGTGCTACAATACACCAGTGGGTTTCCTAAAAGGTAGAAGAAACTTAGATGCTAAAACCAGACATGCAGAACACTAAAAGAGGACCCTGTCTTCTGATGTAAGTAATTCATAGGAAAAACTAATACTTTGTTTTCCCTTCAGGTTATGGGACTGTGATCTCACAAACGTTAGCTGTAAAGAACTCTCCAGAGTTATCAGTACAAAGGAGACTCTCATAGAAATAAGCCTGATAGACAACAACCTGAGAGACGCGGGCATGGAAATGCTGTGTCAGGCACTCAAGGATCCTCGAGCCCAACTCCAGGAGCTGTGGTGAGCTGCTGGCCCTTTCCCGTCCCCTCTGCCTTTTTTTGAGGCCTGACCAAGGAAAGGTGGAGGGGAAGCGATGCCCACTAAGTCAGTCCTCGGCTGTGATGACCCCACAGACACCTAATGCAGACTGTTACTTAAGAGATGTACAGATCTAAGGGGATGTGTATTTCTGAACTCCAAGATGCTTTAAAAATTGGCCTCTCAGTCATCTTGCTGTAAGCAATTGGGAGCCAAGCATCACTTTAAAAGCTTTTGTCTAATGTATTTCATTTTGCCACAAAGAGATGTTTAAGAAATTTTGTGCAAGCCATTTGAAAGGTGTCATGCAATAGCAAAATGAGCAGTCAGTCATCAGCTATCCAGGCTCTCTACTGGAATCCAAGGTCTCTCATCCATACACCATAGAAAGCTTGTATTTCAAACACCTTATCTCCAGGAGTTTTTCTTTTGGGAGAAGAGAAACAATCTCCTTCCATGAAAAGGTGGCTCTAAGCAAAAAAAAAAAAAAAAAAAAAAAAAGCAGTCAATGGAATGTACAACTGCTTCTTCTCATGACTGGAAAAAAAAATCAGCCCTGGTAGCTGTGGTGCCCACTTTACAATCTAGTTCTAACCTGAGAAGGCTTCAGTGAGATATATTTTTCTCAGCATTCTCTCTGACAGTGTTATCTTTTAGATTGCAATAGTCTGGCCTAGCATGGTCCAGAAAGGAGAACTGTCCTTTAATGCAGAATCTAAAAGAGCAACACTTGAATTTTCCTACCATGCAAGTTCATCTCCTGCATCTGGGTTCTTCCCCTGCCTCCAGGCACTTGGGAATTTGTGAGGTGCCCTGAAAGTGAATGCAGGAGCTAAGGTGACTGCAAGAGCAGCACATTCCATCTCCGATGAAGAGTCTTTTCCCATCCTTTATGGGCAGGTGTCCTTCCTCCATACAATCTCCAAGACAAACAACCTAGATGTAAGCAGTAGAAGTGATGCTTGGAAAGGATTGGTAGAGGTACTGTGATCTTTGGGAAGGCTTTAGCTCATTTGTGCTCTCTGTCCTGGCTCCTGGGAAGCCTACGTGGAACAAATGAGCAGTGGCTGATACCCACCACCTCCCTGGAGTTCTCACGGTGTTCTTGCCTTGCAGGGTGAGAGAGTGTGGGCTCACGACCGCTTGCTGCAAGGCAGTCAGCTCCGCTCTCAGCGTGAACAAACACCTGAAAATACTGCACATGGGTGAGAACAAGTTGGGAGATGCAGGCGTCGAGCTGCTGCGCGAGGGGCTGCTGCACCCGAACTGCAACCTCCAGTCCCTGTGGTAAGGTGCACCCGCAGGAGCCTCCTCGCTGACTGACGTGTGGTCCTACCAAGAGCAGCGTACAGGGAGGGACAGTGGCAGGCAGTAGCACAGTGTTTGTTTTTGGCATGCAGGAGGCAATCCATAGCACAAATTGATGTCTCACCAGAGCAGTGCCATCGAGAAGCCACAGCTGTGTGGTGTGGCCGCATTCGCTGCCACTCGCGGTCGCATGCAGGCACGGCCCGTGACTGACACTGCAGCGTTTTGGGGACCCGCAAGGGCTCTCCCGCAGCGCGGAGCTCTTGGTTGGCGGTGCAGGGTACCTGTAGGATGCAGCGCACGGTGCAGGCGGGCGGCGAGGAGCTTGCTCTGGGAAAGCCTGTTTTGCAGGCAGCTTGCTGAAGAGCGTTCCGCGTCCCGCTGCCAACTTGCTGTGGAGCCTCCTTCACGGAGATGCTGAGTCACAGAAACAGGCCTGGTCTAGCACATGAACTCTTGTCAGAAACCTGGAGCTGCAGCCATGCTGCAATGTCCTACTGAGTGCAATAAGTAAGTGAGATGGACAGGACCTGGGAGACAGAGAAAAGACTTGAAACTTCCACCCAGAAGGATATTTTTGCTGAGCAACTAAAACTACTTGTTCTTAACCAAGAGACCTTGGTTGCCCTTTCCGTAGAGGTGGTTTCCATAAACGCATGTGCATGTTGGGAGAGCATTAAGCATAATGTTGAAATCCTCTCGTGATTATCATCTCATGCTTCTAACCCACACACCAACACCCCGCTGCACTTTAGGGAAGACCTCCTGAGGTGTCCATCGGTCACGCAGAGGACTGCTGCCTTCAGAGCACATCCTCCATGCAGAAACCATGGACTGGCCCCAGCCTTGCAGATGGCAGCCTTGCAGATGGCAGCCTGACGAAGCTCCTGCCTGTACCAGGGGTGTTCCTGCCTACTGCCCGAGGTCGGGCAGCTCGGCCAGCACCAGCTCTCACGCCCTCCACCTCTCTTCCTCTGCAGGCTGGGTAACTGCGATCTCACAGCGGACTGCTGCACCACTCTGGCCACAATCATGGTCAGCAAACAGTGTCTTACAGAGCTCGACCTGAGCTACAACACGCTGGAAGACGATGGCATGAGGAAGATCTGTGAAGCCTTGAGGAATCCAAACTGCAAGTTGCAGCAGTTAATGTGAGTGACGTTGCTGGGCTTGTTTAGTCCTCCTGGCAGCAGGGAGATCAGGCATGGGGAAAAGGGGCAGCAAGCCTGGCCTGCTCTGGGAACCACCTCCAACAGGCACCTGGGAGCCCCAGAGAGTCACACACTGTTTGCATGTTACAGAAATTCCCTATCCCTTCCAAGGGACATGACCTAGTGGCTTAATCCACGTGAGTCTCCAAGGCCCAACAGCCATTAAGTGGGAATGGTTGGGAGGGTTGGGAGGGGTCATTTGGATTTGTTACTGGCTGCTGTCCCAGATGATCCAGCCTAACTGGGACTTTCCTCAATGGCCAAGGTACTCACTAAACCATCTTGCCTTTTTGTTTTGGCTTAGCTTGTATGACATTTTCTGGAGTGCAGAGATGGATGATGAACTAAGAGCCCTGGAAGAATCCAAGCCTGAACTGAAGATCATTTCCTGATCATTACTGGCCACAGAGCCAAGTCAAAGCAATGTCCTCTTTTTAATCTGAACTTTTCATATATAAGGCTAATTAATATAGAACGTGCTTTTACCAAGAAGCGTTCGTGGAGTCCCTGCGTGGCTGCCCAAGGAGTTGATCAGCCTCCTGTGCATCGCTGCATGTACTAAATCTGAGGCTTAATAAAGCTTTCTAAGCTTTCACTGCTGCATTCCTATCCTCAAACTAAACACTTACTGGGCATCTGCTCGAAGTGAGTCTCTACCCTTTAGGAGCTCTTTAATCCCTCCTAACTCCTCCTAATGTATTAGTCAGCCTTTAAGGAGAGCTAAAGCAAGAAAACTGCCCGCTCTGTTACTCCTGGGTGGTGCTTTTGCTTTTTTCCTGAGGAAAGCTCTTGAGGACCAACGCAGATGTGGTTTTTAGACTAAAATTGAGCTCTCCACTCATTTTGCTAAAGGAGTTATTGGAAAAGCAGTGGTGGCTAGAGAGCTAGAGAAGAAAGGGAATGGTTATTCAGCTACTTGACTTATTATCTGTTAGCTTCCCTTGCAAAATGGTTTTCCCACAAATGAAAGATGCTGTGCATTTCTGCTAGTACTGGGAATAATAATTCCCAAATGGTTTGATACATTTGCCCTGTTAAGAATGGTTCTACAAAACATATTAAAATCTGTTTGCAAAGAATTTAATGCTTCATTTATTTTATCCATAACAAGATAAATAAGGGAGGAACCGTAAAGGCATGAGCCACTTTTACCTTAAGACGAGTTAGTTTCTTTTGACCTGGATACCAGTAAAGCTGGCTGGTTTGGGATGACTCCACTGAGAGCGAGCAGAGCCCAGGCTGTCCGGGAGGAAGGAGCAGAACTGCCCCAAATCTACACAGGGAAAACCACAGGATTCTGGATGGAACAAGGAATGAAAGGCACACAAGGTAGGAAGGGAAGCACTGAAGGAGAGCGCTTCACCTTTTTTTCCCATCTCCCTGCACAGCTCTGGCCCTGTAACATCCATGTAACTTTGCACCATCTCCTTCCCCCTCAAGGAGAGAGCCCTTCCTTCGCTTCACAGATAGCTCGGTGCCTCCAAGCACTAAAGCCATTTAAAGGGGCCTTCAGGCTTGCCATACTCGTGCAGTGAGATAATACAGAGAAATGTTTCATTCCATGGAGGTGGGACTGGCAGCAGCCATAACAGCTGTCAGTGCAAGGCTTCCCAGAAATCCAAAGAATGACGGTCATTCCACGCAGTGTTTGTATTTTTGCAAAGAGCTTTTGCTTCACGCTTCAAGAGAACAGAACTATAAATTAAACAGAAAAATATGTATTCGTATTTCTTCAGAAATACATTAGGTAGGTTTACCTTACTGTTTATATGACTGATTTTAAAGTAGGAATAAAAACCCAGGAAAGAACCACAACAGATGATGGATAAATAGGGAAGCTGATGGAAAGAAATGGAGTATGTCTGGAAAGCTCAAAACATGACACATAAATAGGTGAAAATCTAACAACACTCAACTTGAGAAACTTAAAACTGACTGTTGAAAAAACAGTAGATTTTGTATAGTACCTCTGTGAAAGAGGAAAGAAAAGATGGGATTGGAGCCCCAATGAAGTGGGAAATACGTGGGAATGGGAGCTGGAACACGTAGGGTGCAGAGAGCCTGTAGCTGTTGCATAACAGGCTGGCAGGTGAGCCCTGTCCAGCTCCGCGCTGCTCCTGGAGAGCAGGATCCCGCATTCCTGCCACACAATCCACCCCTGTTACACCGGGTGGACTGCGTTTCTGGGCATGTATCTCCCCTTATATGCACAGATGTGGGGGCTTTGCATTGATATTTCCTGTAATTATAGATAGATTTCAGCTCTGTGACTTCTAAGATGTCATTTTTCCTCTTCTCATTCACCCAGTGGATAGAGTAATGCCTCCCCCAGAGATGGCAAGAGAGTGACCTTTCCTCGTCTCGCGGAAGGTGACACGAGCCTTGTGCTGGCACTGAGGCTGGCACAGCTGCACAGCGCACGTTCCCGGACGGACACAATTGCCCCATGGGCGCTCCTAGCATGATGGAGTCGTACAGGGCACGTGTGCATCCAGGTCTGTCTGTTCCAATGTGGTGACCAGCCCTTTACACTGCTGGGCTGCTGAGACGCGGTGGCAGTGAGTTGTGTCAGTGCTCAGCTTGAGATGAGAGCACCAGGACGTACAACTGTGCTCAGTGAGGGCTCCTGTGGTATTCTAGCACGCTGGGTGCAAAAGTACTTCTGGTACCCACAAGTTCACAGTAAAAGGACCTTAGCTGGGTTTTAATGAGTTAGCATTTGATCCAAGGCAGACATTTCCACTTGCTAGGCCCTAGCTCTGCAGGTCAGCGCCTTTGAAAACAGATTTCAGAACTCCAGAATGAGATCTTCCCTTTAGCATGAAAATGCTTCTTAAATGCTACTATTTTCCAGAAGCAACACTCCAGCCTCTGCGATAACCTTAATTTTAAGGAGTGTGTTGCAAATGTGCAGGATTCAGATTATTTGCTCCTCCTCATATAATACAACCATGTGCATCCTGTCTTTTGGGCCCTACCTAATTTAACTTTAAAACCCTCATTAGACTCTGATATTTCACATCCATTCCTCTTCTTATATTCATTTTAATAAACATCTGCAGCCAAAGTCTAAACCTTCACATGCTGAAAATTGGCACTGCTGCTCTGAGTACAACTACATCAGCTGCACAGCTCCTGCAACCAGCACTAACTGTAAGCTGGAGGGTGCACTCATTTTGAAGCGGTGTGCAGAGTGAATGGGTACGTTTAGAGAGCTCAGTTATGTAATTCATCTATTTTGGGGATTAGCCATCCCCGAGGTTCTGAAAAAGGTAACTGGGTTGGGTTATTTATAGACTCTGTTCCTACAGTCACAGCACACGCTAGCATGGAACAAGAACAGTTAGCTGGAGCCACCTCCTCTGCCAACACCTTCACAAATTTATACCCTCCCAAGCATTCACGAAGCTCTGAGACACCAAGAGATTTGGGGGGGTGAGTAGGGGGGCTAGGATGCCGCTATTGCCTCGGGATCTGTCTGCACGTTAGTATGTCCAGTTTCCTGTCGGCTTCTGACTGTACTTTTTACCTCCACTGGACTATGCTGTGAGATAGGGAGATCACAATGTAAAACAGAAGGTAGTAGAAAATGCGGGCAGGAATGCAGGATTAGGTCCTCCACCACACAGCATTCTATATTGCCATGTCAGCACAGTACAAGCTAAGAAAATTGTCATTTGTTAGTATGCATGTATGTTAGTACTCAAAACGTATGGGTTAAAACGGCAATGTGTGGTGCACAACAGTGGATATCTGGGCCTTTTGCAAAAAAAAAGTAAAATGAGGAGTCTGCATTTCATATGGAGGGAGAGAAGCAACTTAGGAACAGATTTTAGCAGAGAGTTAATTGAGAACTAAATTTAATAATAGCTTGTACAGCTTGATGAGAAAAGAGAAAAATAGGCATCAGTAAGCAGGAAGACACAAAATGTGAGAGAGACAGGCTGAGTTACTTTGGACTAGTACAACCTGATTCACAAAAGCTATCATTACAGCCAGCGATAACAATGCTCTCCTGTGTTCAAAGCCCCACTAGAAAAGGCAAGAATGGTGACCCCTGGAGTCCAAAGTCATCTTTTTCCTCAACAAAGAGACTTTGGAAACCAAAGCAAGGAATTGTTAGCCACACATCTTACCATAAAGTGCATTTTATCAGACCACAGTGTCAGATCAGTCCACAGAAAAGAATGCAGTAAAAAGCAAATCAGAAGGTGACTGATGCTCAAGTTGCATAGAAGGCGCTAGGCTGCTTGGGAATTACTGTAAGAATTTCATTCTGATATTGATATTTTTGGAAGATCTAGGAAGAAAAATAAGTTTTGAGAAAACTCCTGTTCTGTAAAAGAAAAATAATAAATAATAAATTCAAAATTCCAAAGTTGACAAATATCAATAACCTGGCTAAATCAGAGAAAAGGATCAAGGAAGTGTAGTAAAAGACTGGAAAAATATTATCCCTTCAGAAAATAGAATCTATTACAACTAAATATGTGAATATTAGTATGTGAAGAAACTTCAGCAGAGAATATATAATACTAAGTGATTTAATTTGTAATAGATCTCGCATCTAGATGCTTTCATTTATTTAATTTTGTTTCTAAGACAAGGTCTTTGTGTATAACTTAAAGCATTTCATTTGCCATAATTACGCCTCAAATAATGAAAAGCTCTAGATAAAATACAATGTTTTTTTTGTCCTTAGTTAACACCATTATTGGAGGGTTTGCATCTTATTCCATGTCGCACAGCACCTAGAACAATAGTTTCTTTTGCAATCCAGACAAAACAATGATTTTTGCAAGATATTTATTTTTCTTGTTTTTCAACTAACATACCATCATCTTCATGTTTTTCAAGGTCTTCAAAGAATTGAAGGAGAGGTCTAAAATGTCATAATTCATTTGTAATCTGAACTTGTCATTCCCATGAGATTTCATCAAGGTCCAGATTGCTTGCTTAGAGATTATCTGCTCATCTGCAATGACTGCAAAAAGAATACGGGAATATGAACTTGAAGTGTCTTTTCAGTAGAATGACTGGGAAAATATGTGCTTGCCTGCAAAAAAAACATGCAGACCTTCTGGGTTCCACTCTGTATCACCCTGAGTCTTGTACGATGGTTTTATGCAAAATTAGCACATTCACTCTCATGATGGTTTTGTTAGGTCAAACCAGATACTGATAGGCATCTGCTACTCCCCAGCTCTCACTTTTAGGATGAAATTAATACTGATATTTAACTACTTAACCTTTTTTCACAGATGCATTGATTGCTTTCAAAATAATGAGTTTTATAGGCTGTACATGCCTGTGCCTAATGTGCAGATATATTCTCTGAAGAGTTCCTGAATCCTGATGTTGTCAGCGAGATGCTGAGGGGGAAGATCTTAGACTCATTCCTGTCCCAGTGTTGCAGGCATTTCCCCCCAGGATACTTGTGTGCGTAAACTGGTCCACTTGGGTGCCTGCTCAGGGATTCCAGGTCCGTTTCAAGGATAACCAAAAAGGAACATGATGCCTCATGAGAGCGACCACCACATTTCATGTTAGAAGGGAATTCAAGCTGCACAAAGTATTTAGAGTAAGTAATAGGCCAGTATACATTCTGACCTATATATGCATGTGTGTGTGTGTGTGTGCATATTATATTTCAATTTGGTATCCACTCCAAAATTCTGATGATCCAACAGTGGTTTTGAGCACCACACAGCCACTGTCTACAGAAGAAGGTCATAAATGCATTTATAAGGTACTGTATTGTTCATTAGAGCAATGTTTTTAAGGAAAGTCTTGATAATACAGAGACATTAGTAATCAATTCCACTGAGCAATCCTTAACTGTAAAATGAATTAGCAGAACTTTAAAATCTCAAGTAGCATCTATATTTTCATCCCCAATTGTAT